AAAAACTGTACACACAGTAACGATACATCAGGTAAGAAAATGAGTGCCACCGAGGTTCTATAAATCTCCGAGGGATGTTTCATTTTTGAAAAGATATTTCACATTTCAATGACGATAAATCAGAATACTCGACTGGGTGAAAAGAAAGCTCTCGGATGAGGGATTTAGTATGGCGTATGGGGATTCAAAAGGGATGTGTATTTCAACTGGAAAAAATATTTCAGAATAAATTTATCAGAACACTTACTTCGTACTCGGATAAACTAAATCCGAACCCTTTTGATGTTTTGGTTAGCTGGAACAAGAGAGGGACTCGAGACCACACGGGACGTTTCGACCCATATCGTGGATCAACCGGGGGAACACGGCGAGCCAGAGTGGAATTTCGTGAAGCGGACACATCAAAACCGCCAACAGGACGGCTTGCGGGGTTGGATCGGTCTAGTTGCAGACTAGCTGCACGTCGAGGTGGCAGGGTTTTTCTACCGTCCAGCGTATCGCCCAAACCGGAACGGTCTGGTCGCATTGTACTCGAAGCGTTTGGATAAGGGGGACGACGGGAGATCGACTGAGGGGTTTAATCCAAGGGACAAAGCGATGGGATACAGAAAATAAGGTGGGATCAACAGGATGAAGAGCTACAACTTAGCGCAGTACTTGATGTGACGTTGCTTTTTTACTAACATCTACAACGAATCCCTGTCCATAACGAGCCGGAACATTTTATTATGAAAAATTTATGTTGCCAGTGGAAAAGCCAAATAAAAGGGGGCATGGGGAGAATTAAAACGCGGTTGGTCAGTTCAGTCACATTGAACTAATTCGAACAGTACGATGACGCTGACCATTAGCACTGCTCGTTTTCAGATCGCACATACACTGCGCAATAGGGACCGCGCATTTCCGTAACTGCGCCCGTGGTGGTGCCTATGCATCACTGTGCAGGGAATGGACTGATGGGCGTGCTTGTGTAAATGTCTATTTGTTCAAGCTAGTTCGTGCGTTACTGATTGCACTTTATGCACAGATAACCTAACAGAAAAAAAAACAATCAAATCCATGTGAAACCGGTGATATTCACATACAGATAAAATAGGAGCGTCGGTCTGCGGCTCAAATCAAGTGGTCCCGACTGACTGGAGAGTAAGTGAACACGAAAAGTCGTACAATCAGGTATCGTGTTTATTATAACCAGTGTGTATCGGTTAGGCCTATGTGGGGTTAGAAAGGCTTCGTCACTCTGTACCTACTGGTGAATAAAGACAACAACAACAGCAGGAAGTAAAAAAGGCAAACCAGGTCCCAGATCTGAATGATTCCAATCATAAACCGAGTAGCTACAACGGGAGTCAACCCGCAGAATTTAAAATGATGGATATGCAGTAAAGGTAATAATGAGGACCTGCGATAAGGTGCAATGAGGTAAACCTGTAACGTTAACCATAAACCTGGATGTGAGACAAGGCACCGCATCACGGAGGGGCGACGATAACCCACGGGAAAACTCAACCACTTGTGCGTTTTGTTTTGTTACTTGTTCATCTCTTAAACCGCATATGTGATAAGGTTTCCCAAAATCGATTCCACCCATGTTGTGGAAATACCTGCCCATAGTAATTATGCATTAGGGAAGAACACATTGAGCGTATTACTTCAACAAATGGCGTGCTAATTATGGTTGAAAAAATTGTCTTTACACATGCGCACGTGCGCGCAATTGTCCAGTCGGAAACAAATAAAAAAGCAACGGGTTGCAGAAAACACCAGATTTGATATCTAATATTGCCTCGTAACCTGATGAAAATGCATGAGGGAGAGAGAAAACTGGGTGATCCTAGTCACTGGGACATCGTCATCATCATCACTATATGCAGGATTAGAAATCTTCTAGCAATCAACGGTAGGCGTTGAGTGTAAATGAAGTACCACTTTGTTGGCACGTGTAGGAAAGAGAACAGTGGACAGTGTGAGAGAAAACAGGGTGAACGAGCAATTGAAAATCAGACCAATTTGTTCCGAATAACGCAAGCCGTGTGTACGTGTGAATGTGTGGGAAGTGGACAGACTAATCAATCCCTCACTTGCGAGATAAAAGCCCGAAGAAAACATTTGTACTTAAAACGAGCAAACCAATATTAGCGACTTAAATATAAATACAACGGGAAAGTAGAGTATAAGAACGTGAAAATCGGGATTGCAATACGAGCTGAGGAGAAACAGGAGTAAACGGAGCAAGAACACATGATGCGACTTACACCGGAGAGAATGGAACGTGGACCGATTAGTCACCAGATGAAGTGTATCATTTGCAACATAAGTTCGAACTATGGCATTTCCGATTCCTTTTAATCTCTGTATCTGTTTTTCTTACGACTCATCATATACAGGCATATTGGTGAACTACATGCGATACGAACACACTAAAAAAAACGGACAAAAAAGTGCAGCAGCATTCCATGTCACCCGGTGCGTCTCGGCGCTGTGGATGGCAACCAAAGTGATTATTAGCTGTGAATCAGACTTAGACGAATAACAGTTCGTGGGGCTGTGACACGGCGAATGTGACCTGTCACTGAGACTCCCATGACCCTCTTGCCTGTTCCATCTACTTGATATGATCTACTCAACTAACACGAAACCAGGGCCCATTTTCAGTGTTCTTATAATGAGCAACATATGAACGACTAGAGAAAATTTCCAAGAAGCACACGACCGATCCTTGTCGATCGTCAAGTATCCAGTAGTCTTGTCTCTGCGCATGCGCTTATACCTGAACTACCGATGTATACCACTCATTACAAAAAAGAACTGGCCCCGGCGTCCAGTTTGGTGACACTGGACACCAATGTGCGAACGTTCATGCTGAATGAACTCACATTTGAACAGGTAAACTGAATAAATGTTCAACTGCGGAATGTCACAACAAAGTTAGTATCATGAACTATTTGTGTATTACGTTATTGTACGGAGCGCGATCTCCAGTAGATGTGCGAAAAAATGATGTAAGTATTTTGTTTTGAGCAATACTCAGTATCATTCCTCAACTGTGCTTTATTTCTGTCGCCCGCGTACTTTGGACCCTGTCGTCCGAGGTTCGAGCCCCGTCACCACAAAACCCACCTTTGGTGGTAGACAGCTTTGCTGTCGCCCGGTTCTATACCACTACTGACCTATAGGGGCTTTATGTGGTTCGCTACTCCAAGTCCCGGGGGTCAGGTTACTGGTTACCATTACTGAACAGGCCTTCGTGACTATGGGGTCCGTCCCGTCTGCTTCTCACCACACAATGGTGTGTAATAAAAAAGTTTTGCAGTTGGACCTCGGTATTGATTAAAAGATCTCATTTGGAGCTTTCGAATGCTAATATGACGTTTTCAGTACGATATTTTTTTCCGGATTGATGAGAGAAATCCGTACGAATAGCCTGCGTTCAGTGTGTTTTGCTCTGATTGTTCTAGTGTTAAATTGCATCAACGACTTTCGAAGGAACAAAATTTACATGGAAAACAGTCAGAACCGCGCTTACATGTGGAGCGGCGTTTGCATCCCAGTCGACGGACAGACTGGAATCCGGCTCCAGATCTGCCTGTGAACGTCGGACCCAATCAGATACACGTTTATGTGCAGAGTTTGGGGAGAGCGAAGCGGTTCGTTGCGGAGGCACCCTGCCTCGAGTGGGTATCGTCTCATAGTGTTCCGTGGACATAGCTGTGTCGACGGAACCAACTTCACTGGCCGATATTTCCAGTGGGGGACCCTGTGCATCTATTGGGACTATTTGTTCCAGAGGATTTTGGTCACATAACAGATTGGATTTGGCACGAGCTAGAATGAGTTCAATGTGATTGGGAAGATTTCGTAAACACCGAACAGTGCTGGTATGGGAGGTGCCCCGCAGACGACGTCCGTTGACCTGTGGGTATGTGGAATGGAGGTAATGGATTTCTAATTATGCTGCACAAGCAAATGAAAGTTCTTATTTTTATACATTCATATATGTATACCATTAGGCATGGCTAAAAGACCAAAGATGAGTATGTCAGGAAGAAGGAAAACAATCTACCTGAAGCAATTCATCTCCTGGTCGAACAATGTTCAACTTCCCAATGGGGCCATCGGGTAGAACGGAATGAACAAAATGTCGTGACTCCATTGGTTTCAACGGTTCCGTGTATGTTGTACCGTTGGGTATGTTTCCATCTTTGTCTGCAGTTCCAGATGCGGGGGCAAAAGCCGGTTCTCGAACTTCAGAAACCCCTTGGAGACTAATCCCGAGGGTGCCCTCATTCTTTGGTCGGCGAATGTGTAGCACCTAAATGATATTCAACAATCGGATGGAATGGAGGTCATTAAATTAGTAAGGAGAGGGTGAACTGTTTACTGCAATCAAGGAGTACGATAAAGCATCAAATTTATTTTCTCGTCTATGCAAGCTTTTCAAACAACTTCACTTATCAAAAGATAATGAAAGAAGAATACAGTAGTCCCGTTTTAGTTCATGCTTAATTTTTTTAAACTTTGATATGCTATCTTCCAATTTTTCAACGGTGTGGACAATAAACAACATAAATCGAATGCAAAAAAGTAAAGGTGTTTTGTGTGTTGCCTTTCAAAGATGATCAAGCGAGTCGTGACCGAAGATCAGTAAACTAGGTGTGTGAGAAAGACAGAAGTCAAAAAGGTGTGTATTGCACTATGAAAACCGTATTGATCTGCTATCTGCAATTTTGCAAGTGCACTGATGTAGGCAATATGGATGGATGTCTGGTGTGTTATTTCAAGACACTGTATTTCCTGAATGACAACATAAACGTTAAAAATGGTCTTCCCGGTTGTGAAGCACCCCAGGACAACAGACTACCCGGCTGGGTTGATTCAATTAGGAACTGCTATCAGCATACGCCGATGTGTGTGTGTGTGTGTGTGTGTGAAATAAGTTTCGTCTAAACGCAGTTTACCCAGTGAGTATACCAACAACAGTTAGATTGTGGTTCCATACCGATCTTGTTTTCATAACTTCGACTGGCGAATATTCACACTGCTGTTTTTATTGTTGGTTTACTAGTAGTGGAACAATGAAGTCCCAAATGATGAGATAAAAATACTTGAGGGTGCATACAATCTCCATGTAAACGGGATGTACTGTGAATGACTTACAATAATCTCGTGATCAGGCCCAATCAGAGGTTGCCACACATTTCGCATAGATTCTTCCAGCTCCGCCGTGACCTCTCCAGCTATTAACAAAAACAGTTAAATAGGAATTTTGGAAAACAATTACGACTGATCAAACAATTAGTTGATGAGAATGCCCATATATGTAATTCGTAAATGTGAGGAACGCAACATCCAATAAAAGTGGAAGAAATGTGGGCGATATTCAACGAGGATTATTCACACCATTTTGGTAGACAGATCAACAATTCAACTACGGTTTGAAGGCTACAGACAATCAAACAATGCCAGGGGGCATACGGAAGAGCAAAGCTAGATGTTGGATAGAACGATGAAGGATTGCGACCCGGGATGCGGACATTGGTGCACGGTTTTCCAATCTGGAAGTGTTGTTAGTAGACGTGTCGTAACGTGGCTATCATTAACATCATCATAATGGTAAAGCGAGAGAGAGAATCGAACTTTGCTGCAAGGTCGCACTGTACACAAAGTAGATGAGAATGTATAATTGGAGGTAAAGAAATTGCATCTACAGAATAAACAGAGCGCAAAAACTAACTGTGCATACATACATTTTCAAGGAAGCTATGCAGATATCGATGA